CGGAGTGTGCCTTGCATGGCACCTCTGAGCCACGGAGCAACAAGGTGCTGGGTGTGGGGCTGAGCAGATAGAGGCTCATCAGTGCCCCGTGCCCGCTCCAGCATCAGCCTCCCTCCTCCAGAGCACACCTCCCACATGCTCCAGACCTGCCCCATCCTGCAGAGACATCACTGCAGCCACCTTTGAGGGAAACCACTATCCACACACTATGGTACCAAGTTAACATTTATACCCTAGTGCTGCTATGGTACGGCTTTCCTTTCACCTTCAGCTTCCTGAACTAAACCAGGGTCCCCTCCCTGTGAAATTCCCTGTGCACGGTGGGAACACAGATCCTATGGGAACTCCTCCCAGGTGGGCAGGAAAGCTCCAGCTACTAAAGAAAGGGCTACAGGACCAAATTAGCCTGCATCGTGGTAGTCTTGTACTCCCACATCCTGATGCAAGCTAAGCAGCTCCCTCCCTCCGAGATCCCTGTCCACCTGCATGGCAGCTGCTGGGAACTCTCTGGGGAGCACCGCAGCCCTTTGTACAGGACCCATGCACTCTGGCCAACTCCTTCTCTGCCCCTGAGCACAAGGGGCTCAACCTGCCTCTGGAACCACTAATGCCCCTGCTCCCACAGCTCCTGGGGCCAAAAGGGTGTCCCTAGCACTGCAGGCCAGTCCTTGGCAACACTGCAACAGAGTGTCCTGGTTTCAGCTGGGATAGAGTTAATCTTCTTCATAGAAGCTAGTGTGAGGCTATGTTTTGGATCTGGGAAGAGAAAATGTTGACAATGTACTGATGTTTTGGGTTGTTGCTCAGCAGTCAAGCGAGAAGGCTGGGGGTGCATGGGAAGCTGGGAGGGGACACAGCCAGGACAGCTGACCCAGGCTGGCCAAAGGGATATTCCATACCATATGACATCATGCTCGGTATATAAAATTGGGATGAAGAAGGGGGGGGGAGAGGGGACATTGGGAGTTATGGCCTCTGTCTTCCCAAGAAACCATTACACATGATGCAGCCCTGCTTCCCTGGAGATGGCTGACCACCTGCCTGCCCATGGGGAGTAGTGAATGAGTTCCTTGTTTTGCTTTGCTTGCATGTGCAGCTTTTGCTTTACCTATTAAACTGTCTTTATCTCAGATCATGAGTTTTCTTACTTTTGCTCTTCCAATCCTCTCCCCCATCCCGTGGGGGAGTGAGCGAGCGGCTGGGTGGTGCTTGGTTGCTGGCTGGGGCTAAACCACAATACAGAGCCAGCCCCGGGCAGGCAGCAGAGCGCTGGATGAGTGGGGAGAACCACTAGAAGGTGTCCCCAGGAGCTCAGCCTCCCTCATGCCAGCTGCCCCATCCCAGGTGCAGGGGAGCAGGGTGGGGAGCCAGGTGCTCTGCTAATGTTCAGGGAGCTGAAGCAATCCACATGCGCCAGGGTGGAGCCAGCCACCCCAGCAGCCTGCCCCAGCTGGTGCCATGCCTGTGTTGTGCACAGCCTTGTGTAGATTTTTCTGTTCTTGCAATAAAGTTATTAAACAAATAAGAGGTCTTGAGCCTGTGACTGCGTCCAGCACCAGGAATGGTGTAGGAATAAGGCTCTTTGGAAGGCCGTTTTGCACATTCAGATATTTATTAGATTTCCATGCAAAGAGGAAAACTTTTCAAAAAGTTTGGTAGAAATGGGAAGCTGGCTGTTGAGCACAGCTCCTGAATGCACAGCATGCATTCACTCCAGCTCCCCAAGGATCCCAAGACCAGCAAGATGCCTTCGCACCCAGGAGCGCAGGCAGAGAACAGCCGAGGCACTTGGTGCTTCTCAGTTTTGGATCATGACTATCATGCTGCCACAGCATGCGGCCACATCCAGGACACCAGCATGTGCCAGCATCACAGGGCTGTCCTGCCAGGACCTGCCTCCTCCAGTTGAGGGTAATGGGGGCGCTGGGCTGTGTGCATGAAACATCCTTCCCAAGAGGCAGGACGTGTGCCAGGGCAGGAGAGCAGGCTGCCAGGTGGCCAGCATGTCTCACCTGGACACCAGACCTCTGCTTGAGGGGTCTCTGCTTGTAGGGGCACAGCCTTCACCCAAGGCTGGTATGGGGTTTCACCAGAAGAGCTCCACTCTCCTTTCCCTGGGCTGGGCCCTTCCCTCTTGGAAGCCCCTCATGGGGTAAAGGCACATCAGGCCGTTCCCTGTGAGGCAGATTTCCTTTCAGCAAGTGCTGGGACTCATGCCCTCACCCAGGCAGGAAGGGTCTGGCTCCCAGCCAAAGTCTACAGCACAAGACACCGCAGCAAGTGTGACACTCCTCCACCCACAGGCAGGACAGACTCACCTGGTGCCTACCTGGGCATCACAGACAAACCCAGGGGGACATTGGGGTGTGCACTCCACAGCACACCAGCAACAGTCCTGCCTGCCATTCCCACCAGCAGCACACACCTGCAGCACCACAGGCCCCTATCAACTCTCCCCACTTCAGATGGTGATGGAGTTGGTGCTGGAGAACTGAGATATATAGGAAGCCGGGATGGGGTTGGTGGGAAAGACTTTGATGGGCAAGTCACAGCTGAAAGTGTTCACTTCAATCTGCTCCACCCCAGTCCAGGTGATGGCCCCCAACTGGCTCCCACAAATCAGGCAAGTCCCCACCGACTCCCCAGAGATCACAAACTTGAAGTGCAGCCTCCACTTCAGGGACACTGTGGGCAAGAGGAGGGTCAGCAGCCAACACCACAAGGGACAGGGACAGAAGCTGTCTTAGCGCTGGCTGTTCTTGGCAAGGGGACACGCAAATAAGCCCACTCACGAAGGCCAGCTCCCTCCCACACAACACAGCCCTGCAGGGCAGTAAAGGCAGAACTGGGGACATTGCAGTCCTCCTACAGAGACCAGCAGGGATGGGTCCCTTCTCTGGTGGCCACTAACCAATGTTGGTGGTGAATCCTGGGGTAGAGCTGAGCAGGATGGGCAGGCTGAAGCTGCTCTGAGCCGTGTGCAGGCAGGACTCCTGATGGTGGACACGTGTGCTGATTTTCCCCCGCCGGCACTGGAACTCCTCCTCTCCTTTGCAGGCTCACGGAGAACTGCAGGGCAATCAGCAGGGTGCTTGCTCTCACACACTCACACAGCCCTGGCCCAAAGCCCTGGGGCCTCCATTTCCCAAACGAGCTCGGAACTGGAGCCCTTCCCTACCTTATACCCCAAGGGGACCTCAGCTGGGTCCCACTAGAAACCCCACAGCAGCCCAGTGCCACCCCAATCCCTTCTCCCTCTCCTCCACCTGAAACCCCTGCCTCTCCCCACAGTGACCCTGAAACCAGCACTGACCTGCAGACACGGGATGTCTCCTTCTGAGAAGTTAAAGGTCCTGATAATACCCTCTCCAATCTTATACATGGTCTTAAAGATGCAGAACGTCCCCACCTTCCCACAGGTGTTGCTGATGTAATACAGGTCTGTGGAGCAAGAAGAGGGGGCACTGGGTTGCAGCAAGATGAGGCTCTGCTCCATACAGCACTCTGGGTTAATCAAAGATCCCAGAAGAATGACCCCACATCTGCTGCTTGGGTGTGAAGGATGGGCCCTGGAGGCAGCATTCCTTTTGGAAACACCTGCAATGAGCAAGAGCAAACCACACACTGGCTGAAATACGCTGGGGAGAAGGTCTCTGGCTGAATTAGGAATAGCCTGAAACTGGCAGGGAGAGCCTATGGGGAAACTGATCCGAGCAGACCCTGATAGAGCTGCTCCACAGCCCCAGTCAGAGCTTTGCTTTGCCAGCAAGAGATTTTTGCAGCGAGCACTGAGCTGTGCTTCACACCCAGGTTAGGACAGCAGGTTCAAGCGGGGGAAATGACCTATGCAGGCTGTGTCAGGAGGTGGCCACCATGAGCAGTTCTGTCACCAGGTCTGCCAGACAAGAGTCTTTCTTCAAGCCTTCCCCCTCCTCCAGGAAGGGGTTTGAGGGCACAACAGCCTCATCCTGTGGGAACTGGTAATCCTTGAGCCCTGGGAAGAAGGTGAGAGCATCATTGGGGCAGGATGCAGCCAGGCCTGTGTCTGCAGGGAGGGCAGTGCGTGGCCTTACCGTGCAGCACAAGGACGCGGAAGGGTACGCACAGGAGTTTGATGAAGGAGTCAACATGCTGACAGCTGATGGTCAACTTGTACACATACTTCACTGACTGTCCCCGGAAAGAGGGAGGGCCATCTATGGGCAGTGTCTCACAATACGAATCTGCAACAAGTGCAGAAAGGTTTGCTTTCCAAGGCCAAAAGGAAGTTCCTGGAGCTGTTGCTTGCAGGCTCCCTGTACCAATGGTTAGGAACAGCAGCGGGGCTGAGCTAGGGACAGTGCCTGGTGCTTTCTGCCATCTCTTCTTTCCCACAGCAGGCCAAGCACATCCCTGGCTTCCCTGTACCAGTGCACTGCTCCTGACCTCACATCACATGTGCTGTCATCCAGACATTGCTTCCAACACATACAACCACACACACTAACTCTGCCTCAAAAGAATGTGAAAGATGTAAAATCCAGGAACACAAACACAAGAGCTAAACTTACTCATCACGAGTTCAACCTGAATTTGCCTCTGCACACTTCCTTCGCACACCGCTTTCATGATGCAGTCACACGCTGCAGTTTCCTCAGGGCTCTGCCCCGTTCACGCACAAACAATACTGAAGGCAGAGAGGTGCCAATCGATACCTCATGCCTCTTGATATTTTACACAACCCCCAAACTCAGCAACAAAAATTAGTTTCTTCCTGTGTTTTTCTCTGAAGCACCAGGTCTAAATGGCCAAGAAACAATTAAGAGACCTTCACAATAACCTGTAGCATATCCCCCTTGACAGACTGATGACTTAGATCACAAAGCCTCTGACTCTGAGATGCCAGGGCCTGGCTTTACACCGCATTCAGCCCTCTCGAAGCCCCTTGGCCACCACACAAGCCCCAATGCTTCTCGAGGCAATGCAAACACTTCTACAGCTTTCCCAAACTGCATGCTGTATAATAAGAAAGGTGCAAACAGTGAACTGTGGAAAGTATCCACCTCTCTAGCTTGGTCACCGTGATGCAGATACACCCTGCCAGAGGAAGGGCAGCA